TTGGTTTTGTTTGAAATGGAAATAAATAACTGCTTATAATGGAGACTATAGAAAATGATTTTCTCTCTCCATTCCTTCCTTCTGCCCTTCTTCCACCATTTTTTCCTCACTTCCTCCTATCATATTCCCTGTCTCGTTTCTCCTTTCTCAATATTATCTCAATATTATGATTCACAAAAAATTGACTTGAATAATATCTAAAAGCTATAGTCAATCAAAAACTTTCTATTCTGTTGGCATAAAAATTCTAAGGTACATAAAATTGCTTTCAAATGCTTATTTATATTCATCTGCTTAAAAGATAGAGACAGAGATATAGAGGCAAAAACAGAGAAATGTCTTCCGTCCCTTTGTTCTCTCCCCAGATGTGTACAACAGCCAGGAGTGGGCCAGGACAGAGCCAGGGATCCAGAACTCTATCTGATTCTCCAATATTGGTGGCAGGGTCTTAAGCTCTTGAGCCATTGTCTACTGCCTCCCAGGATCTATTGGCAGGAAGCTGGTTTGGAAGGAAAGTAGCAGGGACACTAACCAGCACTCCAATTTGGGATATTGGTCTCCCAAGTTACAGCTTAACCTGTTGAGTCACAACACTTGCCCCAGTTTTTAAAAAAAAAAAATTAAGCTAACAATTCCACAAGGACTCCCTGAGACTCTACATTATTTCCCAAATTCCACTTCTAAAATGTATTTCCTATTTTCCTGGCAAGGTAGACTGCACATATCTAATTTTAGATATTCAGCATCAGCCAGTTCAGTACAGAGTAGACTGAAATATCTCCATGTAAAAAAAAAATATTTTGCCAGATGTGTCCCAATTGACCTAAAAAGTAACATTCCATTTGGGGAAATGTTGCGAAAGACTGCTCACACTGTAGGAAAACTTACCCATACTTTAAAAAATAAAGTTGATATAATAAACCACTATATATATATATATATATATATATACACAAAATTTTGAAATCATGCCCTACAATTTACATAGTTACTGTATAGTTTAGATCATACGGAATATAATCTATATATTAAAGTCAGACAGGTAATTATGATTCATAGGAAATTATCTGAGAACAATGATGGAAGTAAGTTTCTGCTCCATGCTACATTGATATAACAATTGACTAACAAGAAAACAAAGATGAAATACTGAAATGAGAAGACTTTTCTAATATGAAACATGATATTGCATTACCATATTTTGCCATCTACAATTTATTCTATAAACTTTTAAAATGAAAAGATAAATAATTCAGTACAATATTAATCATTAGCGATTTCATCAAGTTTGACTGCAAGACAGAATTTGAGAAAAGAAATGGATCAAAAGGCAAATTACACACTAACTGGAGTTGCCTTCCTTTTTTATTTACTACAGCAGGTGATCTCGATGTAAGTCAGAAAGAGCCACAGCTTGGAGTAATACCTGGCTTCTGTCAGCAGTGCCCCTCAAAGGCTCGCTTCTCAATAATCAGGTCACAGACCTGTAATATCCAACCAGCCAATATCCTCCAATATCCAAATA